GATGACCTATTGTTATGTCATAAAATCTGTAAACCACCATATTTCAGGCAAATAAATGAATCTATCTATCTGAATCTATCTTTTAAAAATTCTCAGTAGTAGCGCGGAGTCTGGAATTGTGCCCGGTATATGGCAATAGACTCATCCCCTATTACATGGGGCTTAATAACATAAATAGTGAAAAGTGGGTGTTACATTGTACAGTGGCGTAAATGTGCACCTCTGCCTACCCCGTCAGGGATAAAAGGCGTGATGTTATGATAATGATGATATGTACACCAGCAGATTTTTCTATAAACATAACATGTTTTATGGCGTAAGCTGTGGTGTTATATATGTACATTTTCTAAAATAAATAAATAAATAAATCACCTACACATAATTTTTGCGCATTTAGTGCGGTACCTATAAATTGTAGTGCGAAAAACTTGTATGCAACGCAAAACAAGTTATGGAAATGATACGCAATTGGAACACATAAATAAAAAACAAGATTTAATCGTCTGTTGATTCTTATTTACATAATTTGTTTGAATAATTTTAAATAGGTATTTGGTACATTTAATGATTTAATATGTTACGTGTAAAAGGCGTGTTGTTATGTATTAAGTTTATGTGTGGGAGAGCCATGCTTCGGCACGAGTGATACCACGGCCTCATAGAAAACCGACGTGAAGCAACACTTGCGTTGTGTTTCGTCGTGTGAGTGAGGTTACCGGAGGCCCAATTACCCTTCCCTTCCCCAATCCCTGAATCCCCAACGATCCGCAAACTCCTAATCCCCCAAAAGGCCGGTAACGCACTTGTAACGCCTCTGATGTTCCAGGTGTCCATGGGCGACGACGATTGCTTACCATCAGGTGATCCGTATGCTCGTTTACCGGTTTATGCAATAAAAAAAAACTTGGGGTATACTTAATAGTTTGTTCGGACTATGCTAGTATTTTAGTCGAGCAGCGAGTGTTTAAGTATATCCCTCTCGCTTCTGTCCCAAAAACGAAACGAGAGAGAGTTACAAGGCATTTTTTTAAGGGGGTAAATCATCGAATGACTGCTCCCGTCTGGGTGAGGCGGGAGGGAGTGTCAGACTCTTGCTGACTAAAAACCACCCCGTTCCTTCTTCTGCACGTCGAGCCGAGAACCCGTTAGGTTCGCCGCGACATATGTATAACGCGTGCCTAGACGTGTTTATTATTTCAGAAACGATTACGAGCAAAATATGTCGTTACATTTACTAATACGCTACACCGCAGCGTGATAGACGTGTGAATAATTTATCAAGTGGGGCATTTAGTTATTAATACAAATTGTTATTCATTAAGCCATTATTATGTAATAATCATTTGCATAACATATTCTTAATTTAAATTTAATATTTGTTTCGATTCATTTTTAGATTTTGTCTGAAGAATGACAATTTTGGAGATGGATTTATTGGATTAACACGCAGATATCACACGTCGCAAAACTATAATAAGATTGAATTTGAACCTTCTATAAATCTAGACCAATGGTTCCCAAAGTTGTCTGGACTACGACCTATCTAAATCAAGTTCGCAAAGTTACGGCCCACTTTAAGGAAATTAAACCGTTATCAATGTAAAAAGTATAAAACAAAGAACGGGTGGTTAGTGTGTTAATCTATAGAGAAGGTCCACTAAATATTCGCTTGCGACCCACCCATGGGTCGCGACCCGTAGTAATAATCGTAGTAATAGTAATTCCTGATCTCCCGTTGAAATCCATCCCCTAAATTTGGTTATACCTCTACAAAAGTAGTCTCTAAACATTGGAAATAAGGTCTATAATGTAATGTAATATTAGTGGAGAGCGGTCACCGGTGACCGCTTGGGGATCTATGGCTAGACTCCTTTATGTAATTGACATTGTCGAGTATTAAAAACCAAACAGTACTTTGTCCAATCCAAGAATTGGATCCGAAATAAGGCATTCAATTGACTTAGGTACTTATTTTATAAACACAAAACCAAACGACATATCCATACTACTTAAAACTTAGATGACATATTAACAAACAATCGTTCAACGGACAATATACGCAATCCCTATAAAGTAGGACAGAATGGACTTTGGACTTCAGACTAGACGGGACAAATGGCGACTTGTATTGAGGCGAAGACTGGCCGGATGTGTTGTATGTGGGCGACTAATAATAGTCTGGACATAGGTCGTAGGTTTAATCAATTGATCACATTCAATTGTTTTGTTATCAGTGGCTTGAAGGCGATGATCTCTGGTAATGAACAAGCTAAACCCTTTAGGAGTTCTTGGCTGAATTCCTAGATTCAAGTGTGGGAAAGCCATGATTCCGCACGAATGGACCGACTCGACCGGAGTGATACCACGACCTCACAGAAAACCGACGTGAAATAATATTGCGTTGTGTTTCAATATTAACAACATTGTGAGTGAGGTTACCGGAGGCCCAATTTCCCCAATCCTCGAATCCCCAATAATCCTCAAATTCCTATTTCCCAAAAGGCCGGTAACGCACTTGTAGCACCTCTGGTGTTTCGGGTATCCATGGGCGGTGCCGATTGTTTACCATCGTGATGATCCGTATACCTACTCGTTTACCGGCTTATCCCATTAAAATATACACATAGTACTGAAAAAAACATCATAAGTATGTATTTAAATAATCTCCGCGCTTAGCAGGAGATCGCAGTTCAGACTGTTAAGATTAATTAAATAGTTTTATAAATTTGAATCTGTTAAATGTGTAGTCTTTTGAAGCTGAAGTCATAAATCGAACTTACCAAGATATCTGAATGGATTTCGGCTAATGGCATCCAGCTAATGTCAAAAATGGACGATAATCCATCATTACTGACATCTTCTCTTTAAGTTTAAGTATGACTGATTTTAATGTAAGTAATTATGATATTTGACAAAATTTTGTATGACTGCGATGGTATGGTATTAATGATGTATGGTATAGATATTAATTAATTTTATGGATTTCGTAGATGTCCGAAATGAATGTTTTTTTTTATTTTATTTATTTAATCCAACTATTTTGGATTTGTATAATTTTAATATTGACTTTCATTCCTATCGACCTTATTTCTAAGGCGCCGAAAACCTAGAATCTGCTAGGCATTTCTGTATCACGCCAATTCGAACTTTCCAAGGAACTCGATCGCATTGCCCATCATTGGTCGAGCTTGAGAATATTCACAACCATGGCGGACCGCGATCGAGTTCACTATGATTTTTGAAATCGAAACTTACAGAATAGCCTAGCAGCTATATTAACTCGTCGAGTACCGGTTTTATAGACACAATTAAAGAACAATAGGTCGCGGTCACCGGTGACCGCTTGGTGTTTGACAGTTTAATCTGTAACTTTCTATTCTCATTCTGTAACTTTAAAAAATCTATTTTACCGATACCATCACCTATGTGTTACCTATGCGCAAATATTCACGAATATTAAATTTTTCATGAATAATAGGACTGTTACAAAATATTTCCTGAGACACCAAGTAATAATTTCCTACACAAACGGATAGCAAACATTTTAAATTATAATTAAAAGATGCGATCAATCAAAGTACATTGATCGTAATGACTTATTTTCATTAAGCGTGAAACTCATTCATCCGCTGTTTTTATAAGTACTGGCCATTTTCGAATTTTTATACCAAATGTTCCTGAATACTGTTGCTGTTGATTTTAATTATAAATATTGGTATTTCTTTTTTTAAACGTATGTAGGTTGTATATTTTTTTATAACATAACATAACATCAATAACATCACGCCTTTTATTCCCGGAGGGGTAGGCAGAGGTGCACATTATGCCAGTGTACATTGTAACACCCACTTTTCACTATTTATGTTATAAGTCCCATGTAATAGGGGGTGAGCCTATTGCCATATACCAGGCACGATTCCAGACTCCGTGCTACTACTGAGAATTTTTTTAAAACCCAGTTATACTTTGCCCGACCCGGGAATCGAACCCGAGATCCCTTGCCCGGCAGTCGCACTTGCGACCCCTCGGCCAACAAGGCAGTATTTTGTTATAATTATCTTCTATAACATATGGTGATCAATTGTAATCAGGGAATGCAAATATTGCGAGGTTGAAGCACAAACGATTACAAATACAATCTCATGAGATCTCGTCCATTTCCAGTACCTATGAGATTAATCTCGCTAAAAATGGGTGTCGCGAGATCGAGATTGTTTCCCAATTTCACGAGATTTGCGTTCTCTTTCTCGCAAGTGCAATAATCCCTACACTTAGCAGACGACTTGAGGATTGTAATTAGATTAGCATTTTAAGGATACTGCTGTTCACAAGTATCTTAGTGTCTGGCGTCAGTATTGGAAATATAATAAACTTTTAGTACCTACTTAAATACCTATATATTTATCTACATATTTTTAATTATGCAATTTACGATGTAAAACTATAAAATATGCCAAGCAATATACCAAATTTTAAGCTTTCTAGAATACCATGAACATTAAGTAATTACAGTTTTAGTCTACTTAAACCAGTAAATAAGTAATTTAAGTACTGTAACTTAACTAGTTTTAATGTTCTTGTCATTAAAGTAAGCTATTATAAAACAAACATATCAAAAACTACACTTTAAGACTGTCGTTTACCGAATCTGCATATAACATAATGCATTCTTAAGAATGCATAATAATTACGGAAGAACATTAAATTCTTGTTGTACCGTTGTCGTAATACTTATTTCATTTATTGTTCAACTTTTATAATATCATTTTTATTAATTATAAACATGTGACTTAAAATTAGAGCAAGTGTGTACAATTGTTGTTGAACCAATAATAAAATAAACGTAACAATGCTATTATTAAAAGCAGTTTTATTTTTTACTTCTTACATTTTACTGTAAAAATATAATAAAAAAATGGTGGATTGTAAACAAGAATAATAAAACTGTTATTAGGTATATAAATAAAAATAAATCAGAAGGTAAAACAAAAAATACTCACAGAGATTGGCGAATCAAAATAGTTGGTTTAGGCATTTTAATACAAATAAAACACTTTCACTAAATAATAACAAAAATAAATGAACGATAACTTCACTTCACACGCAAACAGCCATTTTGTTTTCGTAGATAAAAAATATTATTTGTTATTTATTTAATTTAATTGACTACAGACAGTGTTGTCGTACGGCCGAGCTAGTCGATAATGCATTCAGAGATCGTACAACCGGCGTCTATACGATACTGGTTTGAGTAGTGATGTGCGTAATATCGATAACATTAATGGAGTCGTCGTATTTATGTGAGTTGGAAAATGTTAAAATTATTAATTTTAAAGGTTGTGACATTTGTTATTAATTAGCTATTGTCCTTATTTACCTCTTGTTTGTATAATTTGATTAGATGTTCTGCAACATGTGCAAAGATAATAAAATAAGATTCGTTTATTAGGTATATGATTTATTTGCAAGTAAGATTAAAATATTTGCATTACTGGTTCAAAATAGATTCTGATGTAAGAAGATTAATAGGAGTTCCTTCATTATCGTACTACTATATGACTCATTTGTTTCATTGTTTATGTTTATTTTTCTCCATAAATGAATAAGAGTGACATTACAATTGTACCTTACATTAAATAATTTCCATGGGTATTTTCCAGCAACAGACATTTATCCATAGTTATTACTTGAATTCTAAGAAATATTTTTATTAACAAAATAATTAACTCTTCTCATCACTAAGCCACGAAATGCGTGGGTCAGCTTTGTTTACACTCGATAGATACTGTGAACCAATATAATTTAGCAATGTGCACATAATGATGTACATCGTAAGATATTTTGTTTAGCTGTGTGGGTTGTCTCGTGTCAACATTCGGGTGATATGTTATCTGTTATTTGTTTTTGAGTGCAAAGATAAATCTGTTGTACATTTTTATATCAAGTTTGCAATTAACTTTTAAAATAACTACGTTTCGTATCGATAATGTTTCAATTTAATGTCAAATATCTTAATATAAATTAGATTCATTTTGCTTTGCTTGCTTATTTAGAAAACGTTGCCCCACACTAGGATTATCTCCTATGTCGTAGGTGCGTTTACAAACATACAAGTTTACATACACATTGATTACTGATTTTATTTTTAAACTCATCAATCAGGTAGATGCCATTTGTGATATCACTCAGGGGAAAGCGGTGTGCTGATATCGATATTTCAAGGAACAGAGTTAAAAAAGTCATCACTAATATCTGCCTTTAATTTGAATTTTGTTTACAGTTGCTCCACAGCAGACAATGGTATACAAAAATTATAAAGTCACATTAGGTACGTGACACGTTTCTGGATCGGTTAAATGTAAATAAATGTTTTCGATACTTTTTATACACTTTTATTTTATTGGTGTGTGCTGTTGCTGTGTAAGCATGTACACTATGTAGGAATAGTAACAGTAAAATATGGGATTATGTTACCAGTAAAATAAACTTAGTGTCCTAATTCTAAGTAGAGAGAGTACATTAATTATATTTTATCTAATTATGTAAATAAAATAAATGCGGAAAATATATGTAAGACAGAAAAGTTTAGCGTACCGTAAAATAACGTGCAAAACATCGACATGTAAACAACAAAACAAAGGTGCGCACATCACTACGTCTCGAACTCTGCTCTCCGTCTTTGTTTACGTTCAACTCGGCCACTGATTGAACAATTGAATTCAAGGATAGAATCAATTTGTAAATTGTATACTATCTGTATCATCTGTATTTAGGTATGTGTACAAGGAGTTGTTGTCCATAAACAACAAGAAGGTTTTATATCGTTTTATTTATAATTCACACCTTCTTATCCACGTAAGGCATAGACAAAGGGCCAAAGGTGCATTGACTAAATAGCCACTCCTTATGAGTTACCTTAGATATCTCATTAAATAGGAAGTGGCATACCAGACGAAACTTTAAAACTAGAACACAAAAAAATCACAGTAAAGCAAAAATGTGGGTTATGGTTTAACTCGTCGAGTACCGTATTTATAGACATAATTAAAGAACAATAGGTTGCGGTCATCGGTGTCCACGCGGTGTTTGACAGTTTAAATTGTTATAAGCATTAAAGTTTTAACATTACAATAACGATATTTCATTAACAAATAGGTAATAGCTATTACAGTAACAATGTCATTAGCCTTGTGTTTCTAAAATTAACCACTAAAGTAAGTACAGTACATAGCATTGTACTTTTTGCACTTGTATAAATTTGCTTCAAAATAACTCAGTAAGTTATAAAGTAGTATTAAATGTGCTACGAATATTACAGTAGAATATTTCAAAAAGGCCAACTGGAATATTTGATTGGAGTTTTTGTGTAACTATTTAAGTTTTGTCACGTTCGAACTGAATTCGGGAATTGTGATCTATCACTTTATTGTGAACAGTCTACTATCCAGCTATTTTACCTACTGCACCTATCTTCATCAACACGGAGAAGGTTTGAGCATTAATCACCACGCTTGATCAATGCGGGTTGGCGATTTCAAACTTATGATAAGAAATTATAAATCCAGGTTTCCTCACGATGCACTCCTTCACCGTTTGTCAGTGGTGTCTAAATAATCTTAGAAAGTACATATATGTAACTCGGAAAAAGTCACATTGAAACTTGCTGTTGGTAGGTTTCGAACCCGGCCCCATGCGTGCATGCGGGCGTCTAAACCTCCGTACCACCACGACGTTTTTGTAGTTTTAGATTTTTATTACAATAGAATTAAGTACTTAATAACAATATTATTAGTAAGAAGAACCTATCAGAACACTTCTGTTTGGAAAGCATCGTTAGGAAAAAACAGTTACTTTTTTGCTGTTGTATCGTTATTTCTTCTTGAGGAATCCATTTTTGTTTTCCTTATTTAAGTTCTTATTACGAAACATAAAGTGCACTATGTGACCTCAAGCAGGCAAGCCCAAGTTTCTTCTAAAGAAGTGTGTAATGTGTGTATGTGAGCAAAGTCGTGTTCACTAGTCGACGGATTTTGGGAGCGCATTGCGTACGTGATTCGTCGAGCGTAGATGCTCAGCAGTGAGTATCGAGCATGTTCTTGTCAGTGAAAGTAACTGTTCTTTCGATTTATTAGGTACCTACTAGAAAAATGGATTACTTTCTTGTTATTATGGCGTGTTACGATATATTATGTACTCACGGCTCGATGTGTAAAACCAGTTTATTATAGTCTCGCTTTTGTACGATCTTTTCCCAATTTCAAGGGTCAGTTTATAGAGGTTTGTATAGCTTGATGTGTGTATACATTCATTTGAAATATTAATGTTTATTGTTTTAATGCTTTTGTTTTTTTTATATCTACTTTCTGAATTCAACGCTACAAAAGTTATAAATCAAATTCAGAAAAGATTTATTGTGTTTGAACGTGATCAAAATATTACGATTTAAAAATCACTGTGAAAAAATTTGTGAGTAACTATCGATATTTTGGTAATATAAAAAATGAACATCCCTAGATTTCTTTCATTTTTTTTGTGGTTCTAATTTTGAATCAATTGAAAATTACAAAAGAGGAATAAAAAATGAATGTGATTACATGGACAATAAAAACCCAAATAGGCCGATTAATTATTCATATTTTACTCCAAATTTTTATAATAAAAAATAATTCAAATGGTTTAGTCATTCTCAGTAGTATACTCTTATTGATTTCTGACAGGAGAAAATAAATGAAGTAGCCTTTAGCCTATGCCTTGTACTATTCGGAGTCGCAGAAAACCTAACGGTTTACCGGGGCCCCGGCTCGACGTGCAGAAGAAGGAACGGGGTGGTTTTTAGTCAGTAAGAGTTTGACACTCCGCACCGCCTCACCCATGCGAGAGCAGTAATTCGATGATTTTCCCCCCTTAAAAAAATGCCTTGTAACTCTCTCTCGCTCCGATTTTGGGACAAAAGCGAGAGGTATATACTTAAACACTGGCTGCTCGACTAAAATACTAGCATAGTGCGAACATAGGCATTAGGAGTTTGTTGCTTGTTGTTGGTTGCTTCATTGGTGCCGGCCAATCAGAGTGCCGAACGCGTACTCGTTTCGAATACTTGAAACGTAAAAAAAACGTACTAAGGAATAAGGAAAGTATTACAATACCAATACTTAATGGTCTGATTCCTTAGTACGAGTAACTTGGGATAAGAGCAAAAATACCTCAACGACATAAATAAACTTCAAAACAATAATTTAATTCAATTAAATGACGCCATACATTGACAGACTGCCTGCAATATGCGTACGTGACGTATCACCACGCCGCCACTGTATGCAACCTCTATTGCGTCCGTTTCTTTGAATTTAGAAGGACAATGAACCTACCTATTTATTATCTGTGAGTAATAGTTTTATAGGTGTATTCATTTGTTTATATATTGTGTTTGTACCGTCAGAACAGCTGTTATTGAATTGTTTAGTGTATTTCTATTTAAACTAGAATAAATATCACATTGACGTCTGTTGATCTCCAGACTAAATACTTTTGGTACAATCATTTTTTAGCCATTCATTTCTCGTGAATAAATATTACCTAATTAAATATACCTATCTCTTCACTTAATTGAAATGTAAGAGTTACCTATGCAAAAGATGTGTGTTGGTGTCGAATAATACAATTACTAGGTCTTTCTTTAATAATAAAATTTCAGATTGGCGATATGATGAAGAAGGACCAAATTAAAAGTACCGTTAACCGACGAGCATCCATGTAAGGATTGATGACTGTTGATGAAGCGAAAGAGGTATGTAGGAATCGTAGCAATTGGCGTTCCATAGTCTCTGCCTATCTCCATGAGAGATAGGCGTGATGTTATGTATGTATGTATATTTAAGAAAGGTAACCCAAGAAATGGGACCTAAAATAGTTATCTATACTTGATTAACGAGACCGAATCTTTTCATTAATATTTTTTTATTTGCTTCACACTAGAATTTCTTCAAGAGAAATGTACATAAAATTTCATAATCACAATACCGTGACGGATCATAC